GTGTATATCAATTAATTATAAATAATGAATTATTTGACGATGTGGTCATCTTCAACAAACTATTCTTTTTTATATTCAGATATTCTTAACTTATCTTCGTACGGATATCTTAAAAGTTTGTGACGTGCGAAAATGGAAGAAATAAAAAAAATTCAGCACCGCAGTACTTGTTATCAACATTACAGAAAATGAAATAAACTGTAAAGATTACTATATGCGTTGAAAAAAATAAAAAGGAAGAGAGAGAGAAAGATAGCGAGGGAAAAAACTACAAAACTACAAGTAGGATAAGATCTTCTCATTTCTACTTTGACATCTGCAGACGAGGAACTTTGCGATTTATAGGCAGCGAAACATCTATCGTAAGTTATTTATTTTGTCAGCGTCCGAAATTGGCGAATGGCCGGTGCCCTCAACCTCGTCGATAAGAAATCACCTCGCGTTCGTTTCCACATAGAGAGCCGCAATGCCATGTGTAGCTTCCGGCCGAAAGGGCTGCGCAATTCGTTGAAACCGGACCGGCAGCCTCATTAAAATACAGGTGCGGCCGCGTATTTAAATGAGAGGTACATCCGAGGGAAACATCAATGTATATACGCGTTACATATGAACTCTTTCTCGTAGTGAAAGATGATCCTAGTGTACGTAATGTATTTTTAAGAGAAATCCAGAGAGGATATTTTTATTTATTAAGAGTAAAATTCACATTTTTGTTTAAAGTATTGCGACCTACGATATCTAAATTATGAATAAAATCCATCATTGCATATTGAATGTCATATTGCATACAAAGTGTATCCATAAATTAAATAAAAAATGACGTACAGAACGTCGTTGCGACTACTTCAATACCGTAGGAATACATTTCAGTTTCTCAAATAGAGTAAATAAATCCTCGTGTCAATCTTTTAAGGCAGAGTACTCAACGCATTTCTAGTATAGATTACATACGTCGAAGACGCCCAAGAAGCAAGTCCTCGACAGCGGTAGCTTCACACAAATGCCTTTATTATCCTCTCCAAAATCTGCCAAAAATAAGCAATAACCCTACGCTAGCATAGGTGTAACGAATTGGGCGAGGCTTGAAAGTTGCAGGATTGCCGTTTGCACGATAAAGCGATCAAGCATCAGGAGAGAAGAAACAAAAATCGGAGGCATAAGAAAATCGTCCCCTATATACTCCTCTTCTCTCACGCGCGGCACGCCTGCCCTATTGCATCACGACAACAGCGGCACGTATGAGTTGTTAGCCAACAAGTCGCCTCAATTAACTTCCCGATCGTAGCGGCAACAGCACTGGCATTTTACCGTAGCCTAGCATGTCTATATGCGGTACGTAAAACGCAAGAACGAGCTAGTCAGTTTTGTATTGTGTAATTAGGCGTTATCCCTTTCTCGTTATTATAAACTAATGAAAAATCATATTCTTATTTTGTTATTAACTACATTTACAAAATTTATCGAATCACAGACTTTTTCACATCCATACTTGATTATTAAGTTACCCGTAGATAGTTTTGTAATAAATCAATCCATTTTCTATGGAAAAAGGTATTTTCAATAAGCATTAAAAGTATCAAAATCAAAGTACATATTTGAAATTAATCAAAGCAAAGTCTATTTCCTTGATATTTCTTTTTCGTACCAGTAAAAAATCACGCAACATTGTAAAATTTAACATTAACATCTAATTGAGTAAAATATTTTACACTTAGAAAATTTCATTTGTTGCACGCAAACATTCCTCGATATTGAAGTTCTTAAAAGCCTGTATTCCAACACTTCATTATACTTCACTAACTCGCTATCTTTCTTTTTCTCATATACGTGATAATAAGACATGAAAGATATATGATATAACCCTTATAAATTTATTTAATCATCTTCTCAGATTTACATTTTACGTAACTACTCTAGTCACTGATTTTATCACTTTTTTTAAGCAAAGGTCACGCAAAAGATTACGAATATTAAAAGTTGTTCTCTAACCATGTATTCACTTACATTCCACATGAAGATTCATCTATCTCTGCATTATTGTCAGCACTTAACAATAATAGGTGACCTACTTATATGTATATTTTTTCTCTCTGTAGCTAAACGTACGAAGCCTATAAAGTTTAATAGCTTTATGTACACGTTTTCTTCATAAAAGTTATTGTATGTGTACGTTACATAAACATACGTATATCATAAACTAAGGTGAAAAAAAAATTTTATTGATTCACTGAAATAGTTCGAAGTCTGGGATTACGTCGATCTTTTTTGTATGAGTACATAACTAATATATAAAAATTACTTTTGAAAAAGCAGATAAATAATTTAGTTAAACACTTTCAAAATTCTTTGCATTATTTTTCATGTCAGTAAATCCAAATCCCACGGATCGGTGCAGTATGTACGATAATGTAGCCTACCCTAATACTTAAATTTCAACAAGTGAATAAAAATTAACTGCTCCCAACATCCGCAAGAACATCAGTGATAAGGAATTGACAGCCAAAAGCAGACTAAATTTATAGAGCCCTGCTCTTGATCACAAAAAAATCCGAAAAATTGCAAAATTCTCGCTGAAAGGAAAAAGTCGTTCATACAGCTCGCTGCTCGAGATGCGCCCCACATGCATGCGGGCTTTGGCGCCACGATTCCCGCATTTGTCATAGAGTATGAAAGTAGGTAGATATCTATTTAGTAAGTGTCACGTCTTCATGGAGATCCTCTAGAGATAGCTGGCTTACGACAGCCACAAAAATAGTATAATGCCCCAATGTTGGCACTGGAAATTTAATACTTGGCCCATGACTTCACATAGCGAATGAAATTAAAGAAACTTAACTAGGTGCAGTGTATGTACGACAGCGTGAAGCTTTTCACAGATCTTTATTTTCCGGATTCCATACACATACATACTTCGTGCAAAAGAAATATAAAAACTATTTTTCTGGATATGATTGGAAATCGTTCTGGATATAACTGAAAAGTAATATGTTTAAATCTATAAGTATTAATTATCACCTTATGTTCAAAATTGGTGACAAAAAATACTCTATATCAATAATCGACAGTATTTATACAACTCAAAAGATATAATAAATTAATTTGATTAATTATTGATAACATTATCGATTAATTTTCATGTAGTCATATGAATCATTTGTATTTGTTTTTGAATCGTATATCCATAAGATCTTTTTTTACATTCACGTCAAATGTTCATGCAGCAGTTTCTTCATTCAGCTGTTATTAATAACATTACATTTATCGATGGCATTACGTTAGGAAATATTAGTATCAAGAGATTTGTTTCATCATATAGCCGTTGATAATCTACTGGTCCCCATGCCAAAATTACAGCCTTACTATTTCGCTATGTTAAAATCACTCAGACGTGAAAATTTCAAACTATGCAGGCGCATCGTCAAAAATTGCTAGTGCAATTATAATCTCGTGTCAACCTCTTTTTGCCTAACGCACCTGAGGATTCACTTACACTTTTAAATGTTGTGTCAGTATGGTATATTCCATATAGGCATCCTTGCGCATTATGCATTCTACGTGTCTTGGAGCTCGGCAGAGTCTCGACTTTCACGATGATTATCCGCGTTCGCATTTTCATAACTGCACCACGCGCGCGCGGCGCTCGATTGCTAAGAAAATTGTACGCGAGGATTTCAACGAGAAAAAAATACATACAAGCAGGAAAAAACTATGCTACCATACATTTTGAATGTTTATGCGTTGTCTATATACATGTCTAGATTACAGGACGCTACGTCATTATATCTGCGATTTCATTTGAATAATTTAATTTTTTTACGCACACATACTTCGTTATATGTCTTCACTTGCACGATTAGTCATTGTTTGGTTTATTTAAATTATGATTTGTAATATCGTTAAGCTAAATTCGTCTACGTTATATCTCGATAATATCTCATGTTATCATTTTTATTTTAATATGTGAATGTAATTTTAAAATATATTGTTATTTAACTCGCAGATTATATTTTATTATATACTGTTATATTAATTTCATTAAAACAGCGCCTTGTTGTAAAATCAACGAATTACTATTTTTATGTACGCTAAGATCTTATTTATTGCAATATAAGATCAGATAATTATACCAATTATATTCATCCTATTTATCATATTACAAATGCTACAAATTTTATATTTTTTTTTATCTTGGCAATTTATCGAAAACGTTTATGATGGATGAAACATATATAAACACAATCAATCAGTGTCATCTTTTATAAAAATACGGAAAAAAAAGAAATAGGATGGAAAGAAATATAATAACAGCTATTTGCGTACTTGTCTACAGTTAGCCAGTTCTTCGATCTTTCGAATCGAACTAACGTTGATAGCTCGCGCGTGCACGTTCGATTTATCTCCTTTGGAAAAAGTATACAATTTTTTCGGTCGTTTACGCAGCACCTCGAAATTGCTTGAAAATGTTTGCGAGAGCAGTAAAAGGATTTCCCTAACAACGAAAACGGCGCCTGGGTGAGGCTCTGATGGATATGGCTTTGCATTTCACAATAGGCCGTTGCCAGTAGTTTTATTCCTGCCGCCGTTGCCTTATTGCTATTGTGTGTAAAAAGGTAGCGGTATAAACTTTCAAACTATCTTGAAATTATCATATTGTCGGCTTTCTTTGTCGCTTTTATTAGTTGTCTTGATCGGTGATTGAGAATTTTTGTAATATTGCAATGATTCGTAGAATGCGAAATATTATGCTATTGTGATGAAATGGTTTTATGAAATATTGGCATTTTAATTCAATTTTACAGAAAAAAAACTAAGAAAGTCTCTCTCATTTATTTCGATAAATATAACATTTTGAAATAATATCATGTAAATGGTTACGATAGTTAAAATTTTTATAGAAATAGTCTGAAAGCTCAGCAATTTTAGATGAATGTATTGCGTTAACTCTGGTGGGAATAATGATAATTTTTATGGTTTATTATAACAAAACCCTCATTTATTTATTCACATTCTGTACAAACATATTTTACATAAAATCGATACATCTACTTCATAAATCCACGCATTCACATCGAAATAAAATCCGCATATAGCGTCTGTGTTTTTTTAAGGAAGAAACACCATTGAAATTTACTAACGATCCGAAAATCAGTTTGATCTAACAATAGATCTTCGAGGACCTGCTGAACGGATAATTTAATTTCACTTAACTTTTTTAACCGACACCGTACACTTGTATTGATAATACATTAATCTTTCAAAGTTTACAGAATATTGACTTACAAATTATGAAAAATGGAATAAATAATTTTGATTTTTAACGGCTTTTATATATTCAACTTCTCAACTATGGCGAATATTCAGCCTGCGATTCAATATATTACGTAAAAATGAAAAAAATATCTAGTTTTACTATGATATTTGAGGACGAAATCCTATTGAAGAATAACATAAACGACTTAATACAAAATCTTTGTAAAAAATTAGAAAATTCAGTCAATTTTTCAATACTCTTTTACGACATCTTTGTTAATTTTAATGCAGGCTGAAAATATGTATAAACTATTAGAGATAATACAGAACTCGATTGCTCAGAAACAAAGACACTATTTTGTTCAATAATACACTCATAAGAAATTTCTGAAAACAATCTGTGAAATTGTTCTAGATACCTTATTAATATTTCGATTCATGTTAAAATATATACTATGGAATAAAAATTTCTTTGTCGACTAAGCTAAAATAAAATGCAATAATCTCTGTGGTGACCTGTTCGGCACTTGGAACAGAGCTTAACTTGTCAGAATTAGGAACGAGAACGAAAAAAATGTTATCTCATTTATTTTTGCGAGGTCAAAACTCAAAAAAAGAAGGACCTTCGGCATATTTTTACGTTATATATTATATAGGACTATAGACTATGGTAACCGATAAAATGCATTAAATACAATTATCGTGCAAAGATAAAAGATCAACGTAAATTTATAAGTTTTCATGTATAGATATTTTTAGACTGCGTTAACATCCACTTAGAGTCTTTGAGTTTCGTGAACAATTATCGCTACATACTTTGTTTGTGCTGGCTGATAATTTGTATTTCCATTAAACAAAGTTGGGCTCACGATTGCTATCTAAAGTCTGCTTTACAACACTCATATTCAGAATTTGCACATCAAAATGTCTCTGTTATTTAATAGGATATTTTATATCATACTAACGTGCTGTCAGTTTGAATTATAATTTTATTTAAAATAGACTTGTTCAAATTCAAAACAATAATATCATCGAATTAAGCATGTAATTGAATTTACGCTTCGAATCTCATGAATATTCGAATAAACGTCAAATATTCTAGCGTAAAACAATATAAAAAACAGACAGTCTGCGATCATGTATCCCAAAAATCTTCAAACTGTTCAACCCCATTTGGCGGCTATTGTATATAATGACCTAAGAAGATCTAGTGCCCTATTATCAGATGCAGTAGCTTCATCTACAGGGACAAGATTTCTTGTGCCAGTGGATGATCTATCAGACCTTTCGACGACTTTGTTTGAGTTGCTCCTGGTTGGGTTTGTAGTTGTCGATTTGAATTTTCGTCCTGATCGACTTCTAAACGTTGTTACTGCAGGTTCTTTCGGTGATAAAGTGGATGTAGAAAAAATAGTTGTTGTAGTCGTCTTTGTTGGATTTCTTGTCTCTATTGTCGATATGCCAATAGGTAGTTGTAAGGTACTAATGCCTTTGATTAATTCTCTAGATTCTTCTGTGGTGAATTCGTGCACAGGCATTCTCAATAGTGCATTAAGTAATTGTTCCTTCTCCTCTTCCATAGTCTTGTTCATTGGTCCATTACAATGACTGATGAGCAGTAGTACCAACTGCCTGACTGTGGCATTATTGTCGGCTTGCTTCATGACTTTCATCAACGTCTTTGAACTAGTTTCATTCAAACTTCCAAACATCATGTGAGCTTTTTCAATCTCGTTCTCGGTCACGTTGAATACACTTATTCTCGTGGGTATGCCTTGGTCACGCTCAGAAATAGCATTTGTTGCTGTGATCGATGTAGTAAGAGTTGTCGTTATACTGGATTTAGTAGTATATGTCGGAGTTGGTGTCGCTGTAAAATCGGTATTTCCAAATGCATTTGGTAACAAGGTGAATGCTGTTGGTGCATCATTATTATTTGATACCCATTGCCATGGCGTTGAAGGATCGGCAAGAAAATTCTGAGGTGTTACGGAATTGCTTACATCGCTGTTTAAAAAATCATCCCTCGAACTGGGAGTCGTACTTCTGAAATCAACGTTTGATGCTTGAGTGATTCTTGGATCATTATCCAATCCACGATTGATATGATCAGGATCAATGAATACAGTCGTTTCCCATAATTGCGTCACCGTTGGAGACGAAGTCCAATGATTATTATGATTATTCGGATGTTTTTGAGTATTAACTGGCCTCTCAGTTTCACGAAATTTACTATTAATATCAAAGTTGTTACCAAAGTTCGAATGAATACTGCTAGCCGTTACGAGATTTTCAGATTGCTGCTGCTTAGGTGTTGTATCGTAGTACCGTATTCTGAATGGTTCTCTTGTTGTGGTTACTGACTCTTGTGGTTTCTTGTAGACGGGTGTAACGTGATTATTCTGAATTCCAGCATCAACTGGTCTAGTCTGAGTGGTGCTAGTTGGTATCGAGTTGATAGTATTTGAGGTCTGATAACTTGGAATTGCTGGAGGTGTCAAGTCTTCATGAAGACGATCATTGACATTGGCACTTGATTTACTGAGCGTAAAACTTTGACTTTGGGGTGCGGCGACTTCGTAAGATGCAGGGGTTGATGAAGCAATATAATTATCACTTATTGGGGTTGAGTTTAATGGTTTAACATACTTTCCATAAGGAGTATAAGAGCTCGCAGAATTATTTTGAAAACCACCATATCTACTTGGTTCGCTAGGGAAATAATTTTCGTATTCTTGGCCAGAGTCACTAGAACTACTGACACTATTCGTAGTAGATTTATAATTTTGAATTTCTTTTAATTTCTTTATATCATCAATATTGTTAGGTAAATAAGACAATTTTTTATCTACTTTTCCTTGATTGCCATAACTGCTCTGAGCTTCATTCAAAGATTCGTCTGGATATTGCGTTGTTGTTGTGAAATAATCAGGAGTATAGTACGGTTGATAGGTAGTCTCTCTTCCATTATCTTTAGTAGTTTCTGGCAGTGGCGTAGTCGTTGGCCTTCTCCTTCTTACACCATTATTGTCATCTGAAAAATCAAGTACTTCGTCTTTTTCTTTTGTGACGGATGGATAATCTTCAGTTGTTGTTTGAGTTGTTATTTCATTTTCACTTTGTGGAGGTTCAGTTGGTCTTATCTCAGTTAAGACTTTTTTGAATGTTTCTGGGTCTTGTAAGTAAGCAGATAACGCCTGAGTAAAAACTTGAGCCAATTCTCTTAATTTAGTATTATTAGATTTTTTGACACCACTTAATGGACCTTCACTCTGCTGGATATCTAAGTCACTGTCCTCATCAGTAAGATTTTCATCGCTGTTATCATAACTTTGATCACCAGTGATATTATTTTCAAGTGCATTATTCAGATTAAAAAGTTCCGCATATGAACTAATAGTGTGATGAGTCAAAATACTTGCTGGTAGATCAATAACAGAAGTATTCTTTCTAGCTATAGGATTCGGTGTCGTTTCAAAGTATTCTACATTTATTGCAGAGTCAGTGGGTTTTTCATTATCGTAATTTTCATCATCATCTGCATTAGCAAAGTACAATGCCAAAGAATGCAAAGTTGATGGCCCTGAAGAGACTGGTACATCAAGTCCAGTTCTAGTATTATTATAGTTATTGAGATTTAGATTTGGCGAATTGCCTTCAAGTCCTTGAAGAGATTTCAACATGTTTAAAGCGTGTTCTCTCTCATTAGCGGGTCTACTATCCAAAACACTTTTATCTGCAATAATTGATGATTGAGTTGTTTTCTCCGGTAAGTACGTTGCTCTATTTCCTGACTTTCCAAAATTAGATTGTACGTAGTTTTCAGACTTCTTGTTGTTTTGAATAAAATTCGTGCTTACTGGTGTGTAATTTGGCTTCTTAGTGGTACTGAAAGCATAATTCTTTGTGAATGGTACGTATGGAGGTAACGTGGATGCAATTTTTCCCTGTTGATAAGTCACACTACTATCGTAAAGACTCGATGTACGAAGTGGAATGACTGAATTAAAACTTTGACTACTATTATTTCTATTTGGTTTCTCAGTAGATCCACTAATAAAATTCTGCTGGTACGTAGATTGCAATTTGGCTGGTTTTTTGGTTGAAAATTTCGATGATCCGAATCTTGCGATATCTTGAGCTTGAATGTCATCGGCATATATAATTGCTGGAGTTGTGGTTCTATCTTCTTCGGAGTTATTCGCTGTATTGTAATTCTGTGCACCATGGTAAACCGGCCTCACAGTGGTGAAGGATCCCGAATAATTATCCGTATAGCGAGTAGTAAACTCAGCACTGTTATGATTCGCAGTTGTCGTTGTGAACGGTTGAATAGTGGTGGTTTCTGTGTAGAAGTCTCTGGTAAAATATTGTCTCGTTGTTGGCATATTGGTGGCATATCGATCGCCTTTGAAAGTTGTCTGTGGAGCATTTGTGTTTCGATCCCGATAAGCACTCGTAGTATAAGTAAAAGACGAGTCCGTGGTGGTGAAGTCTGGATAAAGCGTTGTAGTCTCGTAATTGCCATTATTAGTCGTAGTCTGCTCCTGATAATTCTGTCTGAAGTAATCAGTATTAGTATAAGGGCGTTGAGTAGTAGTCGGGGAGACAGTGGTAGTCCTTGGTTTGTAAATAGGCGTGAAAGTGGGTCCAGGGAAGGCAGGGATACGCGATCGCACAAAGCTGTGTGGGTTAATTCGATCTTTAGAGGAGCTGACCGTAGTGGTGGCGGTAGACTGCTGCTGCATGGTATCTACAGTGGCGGCAGTGGCAGCAAAGGTCGTAGCTTTGTTGTTGGAATAGAAGCTGTTGAACTGATTCGAGTTGTGGGCTTTGTATCGATTGCCACGGCTAGAGGCGAATGCCGCGCTCTCGGCCAAATGCTGGAATTCACGTATAGGACTGACAGTAGTGGACGTACGGAAAGTCGTGACCTCCGTGTATGAGGGCGTAACCTTTTGAACTCCGCCGTTGAAGTTCTGTCGGGTGAACGTACGTGGCTTCGACGACTTGACGCTCTGCTGAGCATTGACGTTTGCCGCGGAGCCATAATATTCGTCCTCTTGGCTTGTTTTGGCTTGATTGTTATAGTACTTGTTCGATCCTCTTTGTTCGTGATTTGATTTTCCATCATTGGAAAGTAGTTGATTCTGCTGTCGGCTACTTGGTGGCTTGCCATACTCGTCCTTGGCTCGAGTGACTGCGGTGTCTTGATGGTATTGGCTGGTTGACTGACTTCGAGTACTTTGTCTATTATAAACTTGATTAGGATCGAACGATGCCGTTGATTTTGTGCCTTGGCCGTTAGGCAATTGATTTTGCACGGCAGATTGACCGTAGGGATTTTGTCTACCGTTTTGTCGACCATCATAATTCGAATTCGCGAAGAAATGATCACTATTGTCCTCGTTGTCCGTTGCTCTGTGAAATTCCGAGGTCATTTTCTTCTTCTCAATTCGTTTTCGTTCTTCTTCGGCAAAGAATTCAGCGCTCTGCTCGTACAACTCGGCTGATTTGCTGCAGTCCACCTTGAACCACCAGTCGCAAATCAATTGCGACTGTTGAAAGATGGTGCCGTTCGGACACAGAAATGAGATTTTACGTCCATTATCGCATATATGGAAAACCTAAAAATAATAATTTCATTGAAAGTTTTTTCATTTTACTCAATGAAAAAAGATAGTCCGATACTGATACCCACTTGACAGTTAGTGTCCAAGTCAGCATAATAACCGCCTTTCTGACCGCGGCAGCTGAACGAAGTAGAAGGTATTGTCGTCAACGCAGGATAATCCACTCCTGGTTGCCCCGTAATTTCTAAAATAAAGTGGAAAAGTTATTACAGATTTAACGTAAATCGAAGAAATTACTTATTTTAATGACAACTGAAGGCATTAGTAAAATCAAAAATATTGGTAATTACAGTTAACGGTGAAGTATTATCAAATGACATTTATATGCATGCATATATGTTACAGAATTAGGTAATAACTAAAATATGTATGGAAATTATTTTACAATGATTAATAGAACTGGTAAATATTGTATTAGTTTAAAAGTATATTATACCCGCTCCCTTCAGCCATTTCTTCAGCAGATTTTTGTTCGCAAAATATACTACAGAGAGAATATCATGATTGATTAGATATATAACACTTGGCGTATAATGTTAATTCGTTGTTAATAGTGAAATGAAATAAACCTCGTATCCCAAGGTACTCGCCATTCTTTTCGGGTGCAAGTCTTTTAACGATTTTCCTTAATGCCTCGACGTCTTCCACCGATGCCTCAGCGCTCGCCACATCCAACTCGGTGAGGAATTCCGGTAATCTCGATCTTGCGTCATCGTCAAATGTCTAAAATTAAATTGATAATTTAGAATAATCATCAGATAAAATATTTGTTGATGATTTTCATAGAATGATAAATCGCTGTAAAAAGAATTCTCGTTCTTTTCGGATATTGTGCATTTGAAGATTGCGTTATTTGTCAAATATAAAGATTTCCCATGGATAATAAAATAATACAAAGTTTTTCATGTCTTGTTATAAATGTCAAATAAAATGATCATTAAAAGTCGTGCTCGTGGCATATGAAAACGACATTTCTCCTCGTTGCTCGAGTAAGCAGGTGGCCGTAAATTCAAATTCACTTTGAAACCGAAAGAGGTAAACAACAATAAAACATCTAGTACGTGCACAACAATAAGAGAGGTCCCGATAAACATTTTACGAGGGAAACGTCATCGTCTTGGAAATAAAAGAAAACGGAAACAGGAAAGAAGCGAAAGGAAAGAAAGAGGAAGGAAGCCACTCTCGGGGCTTACGCAACTTGGCCCAAGTAAAAATCTCGTTTCTCTCACTCTTGTTCTAATCGTGCCCCGCGGCAATGTGTCGACGGAAGAAAACTGTCTTTCTCCGTCGCCCTGAGCTTTTGCACGCGTACAATGTCACTCGTCTCTCTCTCTCTCTCTCTCTCTCTCTTACACTCGCCCGAGTTTCTTTCTCTTTTCGGACGCGATTCACGAGAGCGAGCGTTTCATTGTTATCGCTAGGACTCTAAAGCCCATTCTACTTCGTTAATGGAATCACGCAGAGCGCCGCGTGAGAACTTTTTCAAAAGAGAGCTCCGCACACGCTGTTTGCTACTACTGCGAGAGATGGCTATCGTATACAGTGAATCGCATAACGTGCACGCCTACAGTTATGCTTTGTGCTCTCTTTTCGCGTGTGATAATTAAATAAGCGCGCGCGGGAGTAAAGAGAGAGAGAGAGAGACAGAGAGAGAGACTTTTATTGCTTTATTCGGTATTTATTTTGGAAGCAACGAGAGATGTATGTGCGTGCAAGTGACGCGTTGCACTTTCTATGGTAATATGGGTGAGAGGAAGACCGATGAATGGCGCACCGACGCTCAGCGTCTCCTGTCAAATAGCAACCATCCACGAGCTCGATCACGAGTGAATGCATATTCTCCAGGGGTTTTCTGATTCCGATGCTCGTTATATGAGAACATGACTCGAATAGCGATGAACACGTAATTATTATTTTTTATAATAATTAAATGCAATTTCATTGGAATATAACGATTTTGTGCATTTGATTTTTAAATAGTCTTTAAAAAATTTATTTGCTAACAATCTACTAACGATCTTTTATTCAATTTTGCTATTTATTTATTTTTAGCAAGTTGCAAGAGAAGAAGATTCTGTATGACCTAATTTGACCCGCGCATATATAAAAATCGGAACGGCTTAATCGATTTCATTAAAAGTAGACACAATTTAAAAGGTATGATTGCTAAATGGTCCAGCTTAATCATTGATTTGATTAAAGCATAACTTTGCAAATAAGTATAACATTTTATAAGTATGAAATTTTTAAGCGGATTTTTGCTGTTAAATTAATTTTATTCGGTTTCCCGTTGACGAGTTCAATATAAAACTGTTTTTGGTTAACATCGTGACTCCTTAATTAGGTACCGTAATTCTGATCAAATAGCTGGAAATTCTTGACTAAAGTAAATTAGTTGCCTGCAGAAGAGACGGAAAAAGATTATAAAGTAATTCATGCAAACTGCTTGTGAATATGAATACGAGTACTAAAAATGTACATCGAAAATAAAGAGTGGCGTTGCTAACCTCCGAACCACGAGTAAATAAAGCACCATGAGATAATTAGCGAAGCAGTTTGACTGCATGTAGTTCTAGAAACTTCCTCGCTCATTTTAGCTCGCTTGACGCATTTAGTTGTACACAGATGAACAGCTCACTGTCACAGGTACTTGTTGTAATACCGCAAATCGATTCGTAAAAATGACGCTTGTTTCGGCGAACTTTTCAGCAAAAGGAGCAGCCTACCCGTAAATGTTCGACCGTCTCGCGCGTAAAGTTTTGTAATCGGCAAAGTTTATTTCGTTTCGACAAGCTTTTCCCTTCTGCGAGCGCGCAAAAAGGTATGAGCGCGGCACGTCGATCAGAGGATATTTGCATCGTATAATGCACATGTTCCGAGAGAGTTTCCAATACTCACTGTGTGCGTCAAGTGATTGAACGTAAATCAAGTTTTCAATTTCCTACGCGCACCGTCCTCGCTGCTTGGACCAAACACGTTATTATTGCTTGATCGCCCAACGGAAATTCCTATTGTTTCGATAGCAGCATCAGCACTTTGCCAAAAATCTTGAGGGTACATCGAGGAAATGTTCGTTCTCCTCCTCAGCGCGCATTCCCCGAGCACTGCTCTACAGGCCAAATACGTATTACGTCATTTGCGTCATACCTGCGCCCATTACATTTTAATACGAACACAAGCTGTGTATACACCGGGTATACATTCTACAGAATCAATAAGCGGAGGTGTAAATTATGCGAAGTGCTCTATAAAATTTTGTAGATCTATATCCATAAAAGTTACGTGGTACAGAAACCTATGCACATAAGCCGTGCTTTAAAAATGCATAAGAAAATTAATTCAGCAAATTATGAATATAACATGAATCTCGAGTTTTATTGAGCTTTAATCATGCACATTATATTATAATTTGTGAAAATTTTAAGTATGCAAATAATAAATTTATCGGTCTTTCCAAACTAAGCAGCCTGTGAGTTTCATCTAATCACGATGCATATAGTATTATCAATGATCCACGGAAAAAATATAATCAAATACCTTTGCAAGCCACTTAAAATCACGAAACGATTTATCTAGGACAACAGCGAGCAACAAAAATCCGATCTCGTGTGCGGCTCGCTCCCCATAAAGAACGCGCGCAACGTAATAAGGAAAGCCTCTCATAACACATATACATACGTGCGCCTATGTAGAAGCAATCCTCTGGCTGTCGAAATTCTTCGTTGGAATATATTAGGAAGGCACAACGTACACAGTACCTATATATAGTTAGGAGAGCAAAAGAGTACTGGCGGGAGTGCATGTGTTCCAGTTGCACAGAGAGAGAGAGAGAGCATAGGATAAGTCCAAGGTCTTCTTGAAGAAGGGAAAGGCCTATTGGCGCGCACCACGTGGCAGATGTTACACTGTTGGCGATTTGTTTTTGCTCGGCGAGCGCATGTGTATGCGTAGATGGCCAATCTCTACGTAGTTTTTTTTTTCTTTCAAAGGTAAGCCAGGTGAAAAATAAGGGCGGTCCGTGTTTTTTCGGCGGCCTTTGCGCAAACCTCGCTACGGGTACGTGACAGTGGAATGCGCGACATTCAAATTACCACTACCGCACTCTTTCGTCCGTAGTCTATAGAAACGTTTTGATATTTTGTTTTGCATACGAATAAATGATAATTAAGGCAGCCTACGTGTGCATTTTGTTTGTTTAATTAAGAAACTTGCTGCGAGATCTTGTCATTGGATGTAAACTAGAATAGTAAGGAGCTGGAAAACTTGGAATTATTGATGCATGAAATTTTAATGGAAAACTTGGAAACTTTGCACCAAACTGTTGTTTGCTAGAGATTTGCAAGTAAATTCATCATTCTCGCGTAAATAATTCAATAGTTCATTTCGTTTGCTTTTCTCTCGTTCTAGCAAAATTTTCAATTGATAAAGGTATGTATTGCGCTCATTAAATGCGATTCCACTCTGAAATAACAGAGGCGTTTGACCATCCAAATACACTCTCTTTGAACTCGGGGGATGCTTCTTGCAAAATGTTTCAAAGTTGCATATATTAGTATCGGTATGTATATGTATATATGTGAGGCGTGCCGGGGAGTCCGCATGCGTGAAACTGCGATGATGAGAGAGAGAGAGGGAGTGAGACTCCAACTTAGATTAAATTCTCAGAGGATCACGATATATTCACCCTGGCGTGCATGAATCCCCTCGCGCAATAAGAAAGTCGCGTAGTTCGGTTCTGATTTCACGGTGGGATTCTATGCTCACAAGATGCGACCAATCATATAAACTTTGATTATTTGCATTCCAAATATTCTCCACGTTTTATGTGATATATGTACGTTACACTCTATATTACAGCACGTCACTTTCGCGAAAATTCCGTTTCAACTTTTAGAAGTTTTAATAATCTCGAGTTTGATCGACGCCTATCGTTCTACATAAACAAAAAGTTCAGTGTAATAAGTCTATCTACATTTGCTGAATATGGATTATTAATTATAGGAATGGAAATGCTACAGTGCAATGAACGCGCGCAACGTCGATAATTAGTTCTGCGACATTAAAAAACAATCAGCGCCGGAGCGCAAGATAAACACAGTAAAAAGAAAGAGAAAGAGAGAGAGAGAAGCCAACTCATTAGCATAGCGAGAGAGAACAGCACGAAACAATAACTCGGTGAATAATATTAACTACGTCAGTCAGTAACCGATACAACGCAAGCACTTCTATAAAGGAGTACGAGGAGGAAAAAATGGTGCGCGTAATACACATGTTAGATAATTTTTTATCTACGTGCGGCTATCAGAGCTGCGAAGGACTACTCGCGCGAGCGCGGCCTGGCGTGAAATATGAGTTAAGCGATCGTTAAATCGATGCGGTCACGGCTTGCTGCCGATGGAAAAAAGCGCTGCAACAAGGAAAGAAAAAGTAAGAAAAGATTTGCTTTAGCCGATTTGCCGTATGACTCGAGGAGGGCGGGTGTATAAGCAAACGGAATTGCTGGATAAAATCAAGCCGGTTATGCAAGGCAATTCGTCCAGTTGGATAACATCCGTCGCGTCCCTTGGTATTAAGTGGGATGAGTTATGATCATCCGATGCCTTTTTCTCTTTTTCTCGTATGTGACTTCGAGAGGCTCGTTTTTTTACATACTTTTTCATTTTCCTCTTTTACGATTGCTTTTTTTCATTTCTTTTGGGTATAATAGGATGCCGGTATAATTA